AAGCATCCAGTAAAGATGATTTATTTATTATCAGACATGGTTTTTCTACCCCTTGTTTGAAAAACAAGCCAAAAAGGACACTAGCAAAACAAAACAAAACAAAAGATAAAACACTGACTTTTAGGAGCTTTTTGAAATAATTAGGCCAAAAGGTCTTGTGGGACCAGAAACATTACTTTCCCAGAACAATAATACTTTTTTACTCCAACCGCACCTAAAAATGTTGGCCCTCAGCTCTTTATCAGCCCACCTCTGCTTCACCCCAGCACTACCTCATTATTCATCATCTGGTTTATGTTTCCTATTGTATTTGAAGTCATTCTTTTATAATATTTATTGACAACCTTTCTCCTATAACCTAAAATCTTAGGTCACATTCCTGGGCTTTTTATATTATTTCTCTTGCTATATATTTTTAATTGGATGTAATTTATATACAACTGATTCATCAACTTTATATAATGTAAAGAGTCTGGATAAATTTATGTGTTATCAACAATCACAAGGTTAGTATAAGGCATCTGGGTTTGTACTTTAATAAACTTCTAGTTAAATATAATTAAATTTATCAATAAGAAAGAGGATATACGAATCAAATTATTATCATTAAAATAATACATAACTAAACCAAATAAATTTTAAATGACAGATTTGCAAGATAAAAATATATATAGTTCTATTCAAATAGATATATAGTTCTATTCACTATGATAAAAAGAAATGAATGCTACATTTTCAAGTAATTATTAAGAAAGACAAAAGAATTCTGAAGAATCTATCAGATCCCTTACTTGTCTTCCTTTGTCTACTAATAAGATAAAATGCTTGGAGAAAATTAAGAACTTGCCAAGAATAAATTGATTTTAAGATACTCAGGGCTCTGCCTGTAACTGCTGATGAGACTCCAGATACTAATTCATTTTCTTAGTCTTTGTCTTCTTGTCTGTTTCCTTTCCATGCTAATTACGTTTAGAGTCCGAGTTCCGGGGAGAGGTTGGAAAATGGCCAGGTGGGCAGAGAAGCCAGTGGAGAGGAGCTAGTTGGGTCAGTTGGCACACGCAAGACTACAAGCTCCTTATTCTGCCCTTTGAGAAGCATAATGACACAGATAATGGCACCCAGTCATGTAGAGCAAATTAACTGGTTGAAGCAAAAATTGGGAAGTTATTTGAAAACAGGGTGTAACGTGCCACATTCATTATGCTTTGTGAACAGCTACATGTTAATGCTTGTCGGGGCTTCTTTTATGTAAAATGAGAATTTCTGGGTGCACACGGGAAAGGAGAGTGCAGAATTGACTGGGGAGGTAGATAACTGAGACACTGCCTTTGGCTCCTGAAGCCCCTGCCTTTGAGGACTGGGGTGCTCTGCGGACTTCTCTCTCCGATTATTATGCTGACGGGCCTCTGATGGCTCCCTCGCCTTCTCTTTAGCTCTTATTTTCAGGTACTTGCCCAGATTTGGGGGCATTTTTCTGGGCATTTCACCATGTGTTTTCTCCATCCTCTTCTTTCTCTCTTTTTTCCTGTGTGCCGCTCCAACAAAGAGCTCTGCTGTCTGCACATCTACTCTTTAGCCTTATTCCTCTGTAGTCGAGATTAGAACTTTTTAAAAAGTAATAAAGGAAACAATTAAACAAAATAAAAAGAATGCAAAAAACCTGTGAGAAACAAAAATCCTTAATTCTGCCTGGTCTGAAAATACTGTTTAGGATTCTGGTATTTACAAAACCATTTTATTGGTGATCTAGAGCTTCTTTTGTCTCCACTGCAAATGTAGACAGGTAGCCAGTGATACTTTATTCAGTCCACATAGGAAGGGTCCCCTTTCTCTTTTGAGCTTTCCTACTTGAAAGATAGACCTCTTCTCTAAGGAACTGTGATTAGAATGACCACCTTCTTCAAGGAACGCCATTGCTCATTAGATTCAGAGGCACACTCATTATCGAATAGCCACTATGAAAATTAGAGGAATGGCCTAATTACAACTTTGCCAGGGGACACCAGTCCCTGGAAAAAGACATCATACCTGGTCAAGTAGAGGGTGGCAAAAAAGAAGTTCAACAAGATGGATCGATACGTTGGCTGCTACAATGGGCTCAAATATAACAACAACTGTGACGACGGCAGCTGTACATGGGGTCTCCATGTGTTGTAAATAACTTGACAGCACCCAGTAACAACCACAGTATCCAGTCCCTGCTGTACATGGGGTCTCCATGTGTCGTAAATAACTTGACAGCACCCAGTAACAACCACAGTATCCAGTCCACAGAAAAGCACATTCAGCCTCGAGCAGGGCTCTGAGTACCGCATCTCCAGATAGATGATTTCCAGATCCATAGTTTGTGCTCAAGTTAACTTATTCAATCGTTCTCCCATTTACTTATTCAGTCATATTTCTTCAGCACTAATTATGTGTCAAGTAGTGTCATCAAGGCAAAAAAAAAGTCATCAAGTGAAAAAATACCTGTGCTAATGTTTGTATTAACAGAGATAGGCAGATATTAAAATGTTATCAATTGATGAGTGTTTGTATCTTAGAGCATTAGCATTTAAGTTTTGAAATGTAAACAGTGATATTTCCAGTGATTATAGCACTGACAATTAAGATCAAGAAATTAATTAAAAGTGCATCTTTCATCTTGAAGATAGGCCCTTATGTCTTTTCTCGTCTATGGTTCTGTGACAGTATTTCAATTGTTTAGATTCCAAGTCAGATGAGATCACCAATACAATCACCTTATTACACATACATATAAGGACTATACTTAGTGGTACTATTACAGTAGTGTTCATGCAAATCTATAGGATCTGAAAACAGTGATTTTCTTTCATTTTAGGGATGAGGTTATAATGGGTTGTGAAAGTTTTACAGGTCATTAGATGGATGCTTAGACATCAATTAGATACAAACTTTTATATGCTTGAAAAACTATAAAAATCTCAATGGCATAACTAGAGCCATTTTTACAGTAAGTTTCAATCTGACACTGGATTTGATTATGAGTAGCTTTTGTATGTGCATCCAGTCAATTTTTGGACACTGCAATATGGCACGATGGATTACATTTCAATGTGAAGTACAAAAATCCTCACAATGTAAAGTACAGAGTTCTTTCCAACTGGAACCGATACACAACATCATAATAAAGGAGAAAAGATCGATGTTGTTAAGGACTTCATTTTACTTGGGTCCACCATCAACACTGACGGAAGCAGTAGTCCAGAAATCAAATGACATGGTGCGTTGGACACATCTGCCTCACAAGACCTCTTTAAAGTGTGAAAGAGCAGAGAATCACTTTGAGGTCTAAGGTGCACCTGTCCCAAGTCATGGTATTTTCAGTTGCCTCTGTACATGTGAGAGCTGGACCATGGGCCCGAAGACCAAAACAAAAACAGAGCCTTCGAAAGGTGGTGTTGGCAAAGCAATTGGAATCACCATGGACTGCCAGCTGTTTCTGTGGCTGTTGATTGCAAATCCAAATAAAATGAAGTAAACATCAATATTGTTTCTGCTTATCACGATATTGCTTATTGGCATAGTTGTAAGGAACTTTATTTTCTTTATATTGAGTTGTAATTCATCCTGAATGCTGTAGTCTTTGATCTTTCACGTCCGTTTAACTTTCAGCAAGTAAGATCACAGGTTGTAAATGAGTCTTCCTCCAATCATGGCACATCCTTTTTAATATAGTCCAGCTCCTCATATTTTTGTCCATTCTACATATTGAACAAATATAGTGCAAGGATAAAACCCCGACACACATCTCTCCGATTTTAAGTCATTCAGCATTGCCTTGTTCTGTTCAAATGACTGTCTCTTGGTCTATGTATCGGTTCCACAATGAGCACAATTAATTGCCTGGAATCCCCCTTCTGTGAAATAGTGTCCTTAATTTGTTATGATCCACAGAGACAAATACCTTTGCATAGCTAACGAGACACAAATAAAACATCTTTCTGGTATTCTCTGCTTTCCACCGAGATTCATCTTACATCAGCCATGGCAGTCCTCATTCCATATCTTCTAAATTCTGCTTGGATTTCTGGCAATTCCCTGTTGACATACAGCTGCAACTTCTTTTGTATGATTTTCAACATAATTTTACTTGTGTCTGATATTAATGATGTTGGTCAGTAATTTCCACACTTCATTGGGTCATCTTTCTTTGTAATGGACACAAATATGGATTTCTTCAAGTTGGTTGGCCAGGCAGCTGCCCTCCTTGTTTCTTGGCATAGGCAAGGGAGAGCTTCCAGCATTGCCTTCTTTTTGGAACATCTCATTTGGTATTCCGTCAATTGCTGGAGATTGTGTTAGCCAATGGCTTTAGTGCAGCTTGGATTTCTCCCTTTAGTACTGGATCATATGCTACCTCTGGAAATGGTGGGAGCTTAGAATACAGAATACACCATATAAATTGCTGGGAGCCCTAGCGATATAGTGGTTACACATCAGGCTGTAATTTGCATGGTGGGCAGTTCAAAGCAAATCAGCAGCTCCGTGAAAGAAAGACTGGACTTTCTACTCCTGTAAACAATTACAGTCTTAGAATTGTCAATATGAGTCTTAGAAGAGGTCGATATGAGTCAGCATTGACTCGATGGCAGTGGGTTTTGGGTTTACATAAATTGTCATTGTTAATATATTTATACCAAGTAAAACCCAAGTTTTAGTTAATAATTATTTTGTTGAGGTGTGGAAAAGTGTGCTTAAGTGTTCAGCTTGTTAAAAATTCACAAGCTGAGCAATCCTTTAAATGTAACCAGCACCTAACTCAAGAGACAGAAACTAGCAGCCCCAAAGACCTCCTCCCACCCTCTTCCAGGGTACACAGTTTTCTGACTTCTATTTCAGTGACAGTTAAGCCTTAATGTTACAGCAACTCCTGAGGGATTTATCATAGTAGTATTGTGCATTTTACTTAATGTCTTAGACAAATCTATTTTCTGATTAAGCCTTTAACATATAATTAATTATGTTTTGCTTTGTAGGTTGAAAAAGCTACTTGAACAAGAAAAGGCTTACCAAGCGCGAAAAGAAAAAGAAAATGCCAAGCGGCTCAATAAACTAAGAGATGAGCTTGTCAAACTCAAGTCCTTCGCACTCATGCTGGTGGATGAAAGGCAAATGCACATTGAGCAGCTTGGTCTGCAGAGCCAGAAGGTGCAGGACCTCACTCAGAAACTGCGGGAGGAAGAAGAGAAGCTGAAAGCCAGTACCTCCAAATCCAAAGAAGACAGGCAGAAATTGCTCAAGTTAGAAGTGGATTTTGAACACAAGGCTTCAAGGTTCTCTCAAGAGCATGAAGAGATGAATGCTAAATTGGCTCATCAAGAGGCTCACAATAGGCAACTTAGACTCAAGCTGGTTGGCTTGACTCAAAGAATTGAGGAGCTAGAAGAAACCAACAAAAACCTCCAAAAGGCAGAGGAAGAACTTCAAGAACTCAGAGACAAAATTGCCAAAGGAGAATGTGGAAACTCGAGCCTCATGGCAGAAGTGGAAAATCTTCGAAAGCGAGTCCTGGAAATGGAAGGTAAAGATGAAGAAATCACCAAAACGGAATCCCAATGTAGGGAACTGAGGAAGAAGCTGCAAGAAGAAGAGCACCACAGCAAGGAGCTCAGACTTGAAGTTGAGAAGTTACAGAAAAGAATGGCAGAACTGGAGAAGTTGGAAGAGGCATTTAGCAAGAGTAAATCTGAATGTACCCAGCTGCATTTGAATCTGGAGAAGGAGAAGAACTTAACCAAAGACTTGCTAAATGAATTGGAGGTGGTCAAGAGTCGAGTTAAAGAGCTTGAATGTTCTGAAAGTAGATTAGAAAAAGCTGAGTTAAGCCTAAAAGATGATCTTACAAAGCTGAAGTCCTTTACTGTGATGCTGGTTGACGAAAGAAAGAATATGATGGAAAAACTAAAGCAAGAAGAAAGGAGAGTAGACGGTCTCAATAAAAACATGAAGGTGGAGCAAGGCAAGGTTATGAATGTTACAGAAAAGCTCATTGAAGAAAGCAAGAAGCTTCTAAAACTGAAATCGGAAATGGAGGAAAAGGTGTACGCCTTGACAAAAGAGAGAGATGAGTTAATAGGCAAGTTGAAAAGTGAAGAGGAAAAGTCTTCTGAATTAAGCTGCAGTGTTGACTTATTAAAGAAGAGACTTGATGGTATAGAGGAAGTGGAAAGAGAAATAACAAGGGGAAGATCTCGAAAAGGGTCTGAGCTCACCTGCCCAGAAGATAACAAGATTAAAGAACTAACCCTGGAAATTGAGAGATTGAAGAAGCGGCTCCAACAATTGGAGGTGGTTGAAGGGGATTTGATGAAGACAGAGGATGAATATGATCAACTGGAGCAGAAATTTAGAACTGAGCAGGATAAAGCTAACTTTCTCTCTCAACAACTAGAGGAGATAAAGCACCAAATTGCCAAGAATAAAGCAATAGAGAAAGGCGAGGCTGTCAGCCAGGAGGCTGAGCTGAGACACAGATTTCGGCTGGAAGAAGCTAAAAGTAGAGACTTAAAAGCCGAAGTTCAAGCTCTTAAAGAGAAGATTCATGAGCTAATGAACAAAGAAGACCAGCTTTCTCAGCTCCAGGTAGATTACTCTGTCCTTCAGCAAAGATTCATGGAAGAAGAAAATAAGAACAAAAACATGGGGCAAGAGGTTCTCAGTTTGACCAAAGAGTTGGAGCTTTCTAAACGCTATAGCCGAGCGCTCAGGCCCAGCGTGAACGGGAGGAGAATGGTAGATGTTCCGGTAACGTCTACAGGTGTCCAGACTGATGCTGTTAGCAATGATGCAGCAGAGGAGGAAACTCCTGCTGTGTTTATAAGGAAATCTTTTCAAGAGGAAAATCACATCATGAGCAATCTTCGACAGGTGGGATTGAAAAAACCGGTGGAGCGATCCTCTGTTCTAGATAGGTATCCACCAGCAGCAAATGAGCTCACGATGCGAAAATCTTGGATTCCATGGATGAGAAAACGAGAAAATGGGCCCTCAATCACTCAAGAGAAAGGGCCTCGAGCCAATTCCATCCCTGGGCACCCGGGAGAGCTAGTCCTTTCACCAAAGCAGGGTCAGCCCCTGCATATTCGGGTGACGCCCGACCATGAGAACAGCACTGCCACTTTGGAAATAACGAGTCCAACGTCTGAGGAGTTTTTCTCTAGCACCACTGTCATTCCTACGTTAGGGAATCAAAAACCACGAATAACCATTATTCCATCACCAAACGTAATGTCTCAAAAATCAAAAGGAGGAGATACTGCTCTTGGCACTGAACGAGCCATGTCCCCAGTCACAATTACAACGTTTTCCAGGGAAAAACCCCTAGCCCCAGAAGGAGGAAGAGGTACCTTTGTGGACAGGCCTACATCCCCCATTCAGATAATGACAGTATCGACATCGGCAGCACCAACTGAGATCGGAGTCTCTCCTGAATCCCAGGAAATGCCTTTGGGGAGGACTGTCCTCAAAGTCACTCCAGAAAAACAAACTGTACCAACGCCAGTAAGAAAATACAACTCCAATGCTAATATCATAACCACGGAAGACAACAAAATTCACATTCACTTAGGGTCTCAGTTTAAACGATCCCCTGGGCCTTCAGCCGAAGGAACAAGTCCAGTTATTACTGTCCGACCAGTCAACATGACCGCTGAAAAGGAAGTTTCCACTGGCACAGTCCTTCGCTCTCCCAGAAACCATCTTTCCTCAAGACCTGGTGCAAGCAAAGTCACAAGCACCATCACCATTACACCAGTCACAACTTCATCCACAAGAGGAACCCAGTCAGTGGTGAGTAGAAGAGGGCCAGCGTGCAGCGCTGGGTAGGGACGGAGGAGTGGATAGTGTGACTGAGCCCACATCCAGAATCTAACAAAACTATCAGCCTCTCCCTGCACTTTCACCTGCTAATAGAGATTTCCTACAGGAATATCTACACTGTCCTAAGAAAAGGAAAGAGAAAGTGGCCTAATATTTTGATAACTTGAACTAATTTGGAAAGGGAATTTTTTTCCATGTAAATTCTTTGAAATGACAAATACTTTGAATGACAAATCCTTTGAAATGACAAATCCTTTGAAATGACCCCCAAATACTTTGAAATGGCAGCATATAATAAGAATGTTTTAAATTTTGATTTTTATACTGAAAAAATTTTTTTATCCATGGGAGAGAATGAGAAAAATAATTACTAGATAGGAAGGATTAAACTATCACTACAGAAGACCTCTATCACCTAAAATATTCAATGTGTAAGTACATATGAACCTCTATTAAAAAACAAGGTTAAATATTATAACATCAGAGCCTTTTTAAAAGCAAAAATGAAGTCAGTTTATATATCTAGAAAAATTATCTTCTTAACTAACTGGGAAGCTAAATAAATGATTATTAAAAAGCACTTCCAAAGTATAAAAGCCAGACCTCAAAAATAAATAATATATTTTAAGTTATTTTCAATGATTCGCATCATAGATTGGGGCTATACTTGGTAAAGGTAATTATGAAATAGCATGTAACAATTTAATATTTATTTAAACTAATAGACTTGACATTTTAATGATTCCTGACTGCTGAACAAATTTTAAGGAACATTCAAAGAACATTCCAAAAGACAGAAAGTGTGATATTTAACTACAGAAAAGGTTGCTTGTTTTCTCATACCCTCAATGTAATTTACAGGACTTTAATCCTCTGTGTTCAAACATAGACTCAATGCAGACTTCAGAGTGTGAATTACTAATTGCTTTGCCAGTAAAGCTTTTATGTATTGGTTCTACGGAAGCTACATAGCACTCAGAATCGGCCACCCTTCTCAAATGGCTCAGTAATGCCTTTTTAGCTATGTAGTGCACAGTTTGTGCACATTCTTGCACATTTTGCTGCAATTTACATAAAGACAATAGAATTATAAATGGTTATAATAGAAGATGTATCAAAGTAGTCATTGTCTCATAGAGATAAAGGGAAAACTGCTATGTCACATTTTAGCGTCTGGAATCACAGCAGTATTCCTAAGCCCCTTTGCTTAGATTTTTTTGCTATAACATCTTATTTCCATTATGTGTCAGATCAAGATAACTTTACCCACTGTAGCAACGTTCCTGACTACTGATTAAACAGTATACCCAAAGAGGATTTCAAATCAACTAAGAATTCTAAAGTCCGATGGTGATTCACTTAATTCAGTTATATCAGGTTCCGTAAACAGCAAAAGGTTGAAGATAATCCTTCTAGAAATTGAGCAGTGAGGCTAGCTCATTTCTGCATTTATCCATTCACTATATATCAAGTTTCTTATGCATTGTGCACTGGGATAAATATTAGCATGCAAAGATGAAAATGACACGTCCCTTGTCTTTTAGAACTTACAGTGCTCTATGAGGGAGCCCTGTTGGCATAGGGGTACTCATTGGGCTGTTAACCACAAGGTCAACAGTTCAAAACCACCAGACTCTCCACAAGAGAAAGATGAGACTTTCTACTGCTGTAAAGATTTATAGTCTTGGAAACACGATGAGGCAGGTCTACCGTGCCCCACAGGATCGCTGTGCGTCAGAATTGACTTGATGGCAGTGAGTGTTTTGAGTGGTCTTTGATAGAGTTATGGAACCACAGAAGAAAAACTAACAAAGGAGGAGGTTTTCACAGGTAAGGAGGGTTTTCAAGAAGGAAATAGGAAGCAGTCAGAAAGAAGGCTCTGTGAAAGGCTTGGTATATCTGGGCAATCAAGAGCCTACCTTGTGCTACAACAGCTGGGCATGGGAAGAAAATGCCAGAGCAGGAAATGGAAAGATAAACTGGGGTCAAATATGGAAGGGAGGTGTATTTCTTCGGATGAAACTGACACTTAATCTTACAGACAAGGGAACTGCTGAAAGGGCAATGATCAGTCAAGAGAGTCTATTGTTTGTAGGCTAGATTAGAAGAGACAAACTGAGGACAGGGCTGCTATTGCAGCCTCGGGATGACTCAGGATGGTGTCGACTTGAACTATGTGGTAGTAAAAATGAGGAGAAAGAGACATTAAAGATAGATTCATAAAGATTTTGTGGCAAGCTGAGTATAGAGCGTGGTTCTGTGGTTTCTGATTTGGTAGTCTGGGTGGATAGCGTGGGAAACAGAGTGAAACAAAGTACTGGGGAGAGGATAAGTGATGATTGAGGCATGCTTTATTTGAGATGCTTGATGAGAGGGTGTAGGGGATCAAAAATGTTTAGCAAGTTATCAGAAATACAGACATGAAGTTCAGGACAGTGTTGAAGGGCAGAGTCCTCAGGACTCAGGGACATGGTGGGTGATACCAGAAGATTCAAAGGGCGGATGTGAAAAATAAAAGGAGAATGGAGTCTGGGACATGGTGATGCTTATATTGATTGTTGACAGGTAATTCCTATGTACCCAATGTACACCAGACAGAAACACCACCCAGTCCTGTGCCACCCTCACCATTGTTCTTAGGTGTGAGCCCATTGTTGCAGCCACTGGATGCATCCAGCTTGTCGAGGGTCTCCTTCTTTTCCACTGCTCTTCTACTTTTCCAAGCATGGTGCCCCTTTCCAGGGGATGGTCCCTCCTGATAAGAGGAAGTCTCGCCATCCTTGCCTCTGAGGAGCATCCTGGCTGTCCTTGTTCCAATGCAGATTTCTTTGTTCTTTGGGCAGCCCATGGCATATAGCTAAGCAGGGCTCATATTTTGAGGAGGAGAAAGGTAGGAAGTAAAAGGATCCAGCAAAGGAGATCAAAAAGGAGTCCTCAAAGGCAGGAAGTGAATACAACAAGAGAGTTTTAAGAGCATTTTAAGAAAGGTGTGGCCGGTGGTGACAATAAAAATTTAGAAGTCTGAGGTCATGAGAAGGTTATCGTTGAGCAGAGGCTATTTCAGTGAGGGAGCAAAGTCCTGTTCAAAGGGGCAGCCAATGGGGTGGGGTGGTGTCTAATGCACAGGGGCGGGAGCGGGGAGGTGCATCGCCCCAGAGAGAAAAAAGAAGAGAAAGTGGAGATCATTTGGGAACAGCCAGAGTAAACTTGCCCACAGGGTCTTATATTTGCCTGTGGTCTATATTTTCTCTATAAAATAGGAGGTAATATCATTTAGAGGAGTGGCTCTCGACCCCTTTGGGGTCACTAAGACCATCGGAAAACACATATTTCCAATGGGCTTAGGAACCTAGACACCTCTCTTCTCTCCGCCCACATATGAGTACCCTGCGTGAAGACTGTTACCCATGCTACATCATGCCTCAAGACAAAATTTCATTTATTTTTAATTTGAAATAAATATTTCACAATATAGAATTACATATTGTTTTTATGATTAATCACTGCTTTCATTATGTTCAATTTGTCACAATGAAAATATATCCTGCATCAGGTATTTACATTACAATTCATAACAGTAGCAAAATGAGTTATGAAGTAGCAACAAAAATAATTTGATGGTTGGGGGTCACCACCACATGAGCAACTAACTGTATTAAAGGGTGACGGCATTAGGAAGGTTGAGAACCACTGATTTGGAGAAAAGATGGAGGCAGGAGATGAGAAGGAAGTTTCAGATAGATCTTTCAAGAGAGAAAAGGAGGTAATCAAAAGTAGTTTAGACACTAACTCCATGTTTTTAAAATATTTGTTAAGACTTTTTCTCTGGGGAGGTGCCATCTGTAGGCATCCCGGTGTTACAAGAGTCTTGCTCATGCTCAGATTGATGACATTAGCAGAGGAAACTCACCGACACGTCCCTTGTGTCTCTGTATTTTCTCTTCCAGTCAGGACAAGATGGGTCATCCCAGCGGCCTACACCCACCCGCATTCCCATGTCAAAAGGTATGAAAGCAGGGAAGCCAGTCCTGGCAGCCCCGGGAGCAGGAGATCTGACCAAATGCGAGCCTCGTGCTGAGACTCAGTCTAGGAAAATAGAGCTGAAGAAATCCGCAGCTGGCCGCGCGACCTCTCTTGGAGGGGGGAAGGGCTGAGGGCAGTGGCTCAGGGGGTATGTTGTGCCCATGCTACTGCTGCTGTGAAGTGAACTGTCGTCCGTTAGTGCCGACTCTTTACATACACTAATTTAAGGTTTCAATCGCTCGCTTCAAAAAATAACCAACTAATAGCCATGTGTCTTTTCTAATTTGCGCATTTGTTTTGATGCTAGGGAATAGAACTAATAACCAAAAATATTGTTTTGCAGTGTGGTGCTTAAGGGTGCTGGGCATAAGGCAGGACTTGGCTTCTAGTCCAAGTTTTGCTTCTACAGATGCATCAGTTAACCCAGCTGAGCCTCAATTTCTTCATCACTAAAACGCTGGGTCACAAGATCCCCATGGCTGGCTCCCATGTTTCCTAAATGTAATCCAAATTTAAAAACCTGGTTCCACAATCCTTTTTTCTGTTTTTTTGCTGTTGTTCAAAAATGTTTATGAAACAGGAATTAGTTTAACAGCTGTCATCTGCCTCTATCAAATCCTGAATCCCCTCATGTGCCGGTAATAACCCCCCACAACCATTTCAAGGTTATCACAGGACTTCAAAAGAGATGCAAAACCAAAATCCTCTAAGACGATTTCAGGAAATAAGTTGAATGTGAAATAAAATGGAAATGAAACATGAAATCCTGAAAACAGAGTTCTACTTATTTGTGTGTGTGTGTGTTATAGAGATTTTGGTCACCTCCAAAAGATTCCCAGTTTCATAGATAATAATTTTAGAACTATTAACGTCAGACTCACACTCTATTCAAGTGTGCAATTGATTTAAATTCGGAGCAGTTTGAATAGAGCTGCCAAATAGTCCTTCTCAGTTCAACAGAGATGATAATGGATAGAAAATAGCAGAGAGTAAATTCTCATACAGTAATGCCAAGAGAAAACTGACATCATAGATAGCTTAATGGAATTCAAATCTTTCCTTCACTCAAGGGTGGACTTGGCTCATGATTTGGTGTGTGTGTATGATAAAGAAGTGATTTATTATTCCTGTCAGTTTTCCTTGTGTTTATATCGTTTCTATTAATTTTAAGCATGTTTTTCTAATAAGCATGAAACGAAATAAATGAAAACTCCCATGTGTCTTTTAAGGCGATTAACCACATTATAGTGAAAATTGTGCTTCTGAGGGAAAAAAAACAAAACCCACACATGAGCTGAAGGCTATTAACCTGCAGCATAGCATACCAAGGTCTCATGTCAGCAGCATCTTTGTCCAGTTTGTCAGACTATTGGGTGACTCTTACAAAACATGATAACTACAAAGTTATAGCTTTTTCCTTCACCATTTCTGAATTGTGAGTTCCAACATTATTTGCCGAGTCTCTGCTCTTGATACGTGTGAAAGGGCAGACGAGTGTTTATCATCTTGCTTAATCGATGAGAAGCCCGTCCCTAAGTTCTTTTCCACACCTGATGCCCTAGTCCGTTCAGAACGTGGACCTGGGCTGTCATGGTGGGAGCCTCGCCTCACAGGATTTGCACTCACTTCAACCAGGTCTCTGTTAATGTTGAGCAACCATAGTGAAGGTATGGCAGCATAATAAAATTTCAAAGAAGATCGAGGGTGAGAAAGAAACCAAGAAAATAGACTGCTTATGCTCAGATTTTGTACAGATTTAAACGAGAGATGTTGTGATTTAGAAAACTGACTTGTATTTGCTTAAAATGGGGCAGGGAGCGGGGGATCTCTTTGGCAAAGTGGACAATCAAAAAAAGGCCACTCGAGTGTTGAGTGCTGCTGCACCATAACAGACCGAGTGTCCTTGAGCAGAGAAGGGAGCCAACAAACCCATCTTCCCTTCCTTTCTACTTTACCTAACGTTCGCCGGTGACTTGTACCATATAATCGTCCTACTATCTGCTGTTTTTCTCTTACCTGCCCACGCCATGCTGACTCGGTTTCCTCATGTCAGCCCGTAGCCTCCGCAGGAAGAGTGCACCAGACGAACATAACAGTGCGTGAACAGGATGTTTCTGCATCAGCATCTTGGAATAGAGCCACCTATAGAGGAAACCTGGCAGGACACCACATTCACCTTTTAGAAATGATTAAGAGCAACCACCATGACCATTTTTTCTTTGTAATTTTAGAACTCACTCTACACATACACAGATTAGATAAATAAGCTTTAACCCACCTATTAGAAATGAAAGCCCCTGGGGATAGAAGGTGGAGGGCTGAATGCACTCTAACTAATGACAGCTTCCATTTCTGATGTGTTGTTTTAAAACTGGTTTATTGGCATACAATTCACATATCATAGAATTCACTAGTTCTATCACATCAAGAAGAGTTGTACAATCATCACCACAATCAGTTTTAGAACATTGTCTTCATTCTTGTACTCATCATTATTAGCTCTCCATTTCCTGCCAGCTTTCCCTGCCATCCCCCCAAGGATCCATTGACCCAGTTTTTAAGATGCAAGTTTTTTGTGCTTTTTAAGGACTGGATGTGATTAAAAAAGGCTAGTCTTTCCCTGTCCTGAAAAATCAAAGGAGTCTTACTAGAACTGCTATGGACAGGCGTTGCTCAAGTCCCACTCTGAAAAGAAACCCTAGAAGAAGTGTCATTTCTATAGACAGCAACATGCTCCCTGGGGGCCAGCGGGACACTTAGAGAGGCTGTGGTCTCCCTCCTGGGAATAATTGTAATGCATTGGCTGTTCCCCAACCAGATCAAGTTCAGTGTCTTCTTCTTGCCTTCCAGAGTCTCATCATTGCTTGTCTCCTTTTTCTCTGCTGTTGCTTCTTTTTGACTTTGCTACTTCCACCAAACCAAACTCACTGATATTCACTCGATGCCCACTCACAGAGGTCCTATATGACAGGATGAAATTGCTCCTATGAATTTCTGAGACTATAGTTCTATGGACGTAGAAAGCCTCATCTTTCTCCTGAGGAGCGAGCTGCTGGTAGTTTCAAATGCCCTGGGTTGCTGACCTTGTAGTTAGCACCCACTACACCACAATCTGTTATCCAATAACACATATACATAGTTAAAATATTAGCCAGGGCTACAAGACATATGGATATACTTGCTCCGTACCTCACTACCCTCAGCCTTCAGTTTTGCTCCCTGAGGGGGAAAATTACAGTTCTCAGCTATTTCTTCTGGTATTTATCTCCATATTTACAAATGCCCATGCTGCTACTTTTTTGGGGTATAAGTTTTAAATATAATCTTTTGTCTCATTATTATTTTGATGGTTGAGGATTTAATTCTCTCACATGCCCCCTCCCTCCCCATATCCGGACCCTACAATATGGTTACACCACAACAGTTTTGATAAATCTGTCGTCAGCACTTAGGTAATACTCAAGCCCCAATTTTAAGTCATAGCAGCCCAATCTTCTGGAAAGAGAAAACCTCATCTTTCTCCCTTAGAGCTATTTGGTGAACTTGAACTGTCGACCTTGAGGTTAGAGTCTAATGCTTACCTGACAGCACCTCCAGGGCTTCCAGGTTTACAGTGATGGAATGTATATACTGTTCCCTGCTGAACTAAGCGGTATAATATGGTTATGTTTCTTATTACCACTTCCTTTTTCCAAAGAACTATATTATTTTTTCATTTGCTTGATACTTCCTGTACTTGTCATTTTCATTCTTTCTTTTTTTAAATGCTCCAAGAGATCTGCCAAACACCTATCAATAATATTTACAAACACTTAAATGCATCTGTTGAATACTTTTCCCTGGAAGCCTTCCTAATTTAGTCCTCCTTTTCCTGACTCGCCAGGGGCTGCTTATCCTGCAGGCCTGCTGCCCAGCTGCTGTCCTCTTGTCCTTTTGCCTCTACAAGCCCCACCTCCCCAGTATTTCTGATCTTCGGCTTTTGTTCAGCTACTGAATATCCACCTCTCGATTTCTTGATCTCTCTCATATATCCAATAAAAAGCTACATCTTTTAGAGAGAAAACCTTCTGTTGCTTTCCTGGGACAGACTGACTACCTGCATTCTGGAAACATGTCAGGAGAGCGGGGAGGAGACTCACAACTGCATTTGGAAACTCTTTTATTCCCCGGCCTTCCCTTTACATCTCATGCGACCCTTCTGGTGTCTGGGTCGAGACCTTCTCTGAGGTCGTTTTTTCCTGAAAATAAATCTCTAGCTTCCTGTAAGGATGAAGAGAGGAGTACTAGTGGTCAATGGGTTAAGCATGGCACTGTTTACCATAAGGTCAGGGGTTCAAACCCATTAGCCATTCTGAGGGAGAAAGATTATGTTGCCTATTCCTATTTAACACCCCCCCCCAAAAAAAAACACACACACCCAGTTTTCTTCCTGTAGGAACACAATGAATTGGAATTGACTCATCACTAGTGAGTTTGTTTTGTTTTTCAAATAAAGCTGAGGCTGGAGCATAGTTGTGCTCTTCTCTCTGTGTCCATCTCTGTCTCCTTTGGTTTCCCTCTGTCTGCCTCTCTAACTGCTCCTCCTCAGTCTCCCGTGCCAGCTCTCTAGTGCACGCAGACCAGTCTAAGGACTGACGTGCCCAGGTCTCTGTTGAGAGCCAGGCTCCTACTCTGCATGCCCACTGTGGCTGTTTTCTGTGACTCCTGGGGCTTCAAGTGACCCTCGTGTGCTGATGGCTCCCAGCCTTCGATTTCTGACGCCACGCCCAAATGCACTGCTTCTTCCCAACGCAGCTGGCTTGGAAGCTGGTCTTAAACCTGCCCGGCACCCTCTCAGGTCACTCCTTTTATTACGCTCATCTCTGCATGGGTACCCTCATCTCCCTAGTCACCCAAGCTAGAAATCAAAGTCATGTTGGCTGCTTCCTTCTCCCTCAACCGCCATGTAGATTCAGCAGGACACACATTCTAACATCCTAACT